GAAGTTGGTGCTAGGGGTGGGTACTAGTAGTTACTTTCCTTTTGCTGCAAAAGTAATCACAACCAAGGCAAATTGTAAAAGAAAGCATTTAGTTGGGCTTACAGTTTTACAGTGTTAGTGTCCATGATGACCGGATAAAAGCATGGTAGCAATAATATCTGAGAGCTCCCATCTTAACCTGCAAACAGGAGACAGAGAGGGAACACCAGGAATGGGTTTAGCCTTTTGAAATTTCAAAGTTCTCCCCCAGGGACACACCTCCTATAACAAGGTCACACCTCCTAATCCTCCCCAAATTGTTCCATCAACAGGAGACCACATATTCAAATATATATGTTATGGGGACCAGTCTCATTCAGACTCCACACTCACATATGTCTAGTAACATGTTTGAAGAATACTGATGTGGAGATCCAGCCATAGCAAACCTAACTCAGAAGAGAAAATTCTGCCCCTCCTTATGCAGTAAGACACAGCAGGGCCAAGAAGAGGGATGATAGCATTCAAGGGCAGCTTGCCTAAGGAAAAGTAAGTGGGAATACTTGGGTAGCAAGAGATAATCCTGTCCAGGAGGGACTTGAGGTGGAAAATAACTGAGGATAGGTAAGTGATGCCATGGAATCCCAAGCAAAGTGCTACAGACATTTTATTTTATCCTGTGGTTCCAAGATGACGAATGAAAGGAAATCATTTTATAAAGGGCTATCTGCTCAGCTGCTATGCCCCAACACCTGGAGTAAGTTCAATGTGATTTTCAGGAGGACCAACTGGGTACTCATCCATCTTCCTAACCTCACCACCAGAGTGCTTGCTAACGGGGTGTGGATGAGGTGTACTCATCCATCTTCCTAACCCTACCACTAGAGCACTAGCTAACGTGGTGTAGATAAAGAGGAACTGTGACAGGCTATGAGACAATTTGGGGCTGCAGTGTCCCCCTCAAATCGCAGCCTGCTGGGTGGGAGAACTGTAATATGGCTTCGGAGAGGACCTGCTTTTTTTCCTGATCTTCAAGACTTTCTTATATTCATGTCATTATCTGACATGTTGCTCCTCCAAATTCATAGTCACTGGCCCCAAGTACTTGAGATAATAGAGGTAAGAGTGTGACACAGAGAAGGATCTTCAGGTCATGATGGATAGGAAATGGAGAGAAGGGACAATGGGAATGGGACCAACATCCTGCCTTCCAGGCAATCACCACTGCTGGAATTTCCAGAACCTCCCTGGATTCATTCTGTTGCTTGTTGCCACGACAGATCTCCTTAAGGAAGGAAGAGATCTCTTTGTGTCACAGTTTGGAGGTAGTGTACATCATGGTTGGGAAGGCTGTCAGCAAGTGCATGAGGTGGCTGGTCACTGCATCTGCAGAGCGATGAGAGTTGTTGCTCAATGGACTGCTCTTTCATTTCGGGACCCCTCCTGAGAATGGTACTACCATAGTTAGGCTGGATCTTCTTGTCTCAGTTAACTGAAGCCACAAGCTCCCTCACAGGCATGCTCAGAGGTGTGTCTCCATGGTGATTCTAGACGATGTTAAGTTGACAGTTAGCATTAACCATCCCATGGTAGTACACACCACCTCTGCGGACCAAGTCTTTAACATGGGTGACTGTGGAGGAATACTTTATACCCAATCCACAGGGAAATGAAAAGAGGAGAAAAGGTAAAGTAGACCTGATAGAAATTGAAAGCATCCATCTTTTGTGTTCCCACTCACACAGTACCTTCCCATGGAGCCTCTGCTAATACCTTAGAGTGAGCGTGTAAGACAACAGGAACAGGAAGCTTACACTTACTGTACACAGCGTGCCGTTCTCAGTATGGTACATTCCTCTATTCACTCATCTTCACACCATTGCTAAGATCACCCTCTAGGAACTGCCCTTAAAGTCTTTCCTCCAGCCAAGAAATTTCCAGAACCTCCCAAAGTAGTGTCACAAGTGGAGACATCTACTAAAACCAAGTCCCACAGAAGCCAGCAACTGGCTTAAGGGTACATCACACCTATTGTACTTCCATAGGATGGAGTACCCTGAGACACGTGGAACTAGATTCTTTGTGTTGAAACTGCCACAGGCCCTGGTTCCCATGTCACCCATGTAGCATGTCAGGCCTGCAGGGAAGGAGCCAGCCACAGAAACAGACTTTAGTCATGGAGGACCTTCCCTACCAGATGATAAACTGTATTCTGAAGTGAACAGAAATGGATCCCAAGGGCGTGAGGAAAATGGTCCTTTGGCAAAGACTACTGTGGCTGGAACCTGTGAGGTGAGCCAAGGGTATATAGAAGGCTGCCTTCTGTGTTGGGTCAGGGAATATGAGTGATGTAGCAGGCCAAGGCTAAGAGGCTCATGTGGGCTAGGCAGGAGGATTGAGACATGTATGGCTAGGTCTTAATGTCAGCAGCCTCTTCTGGAACCTTGTCAGCCCCTGATTATATCCACTTAGAAGAGTAAGAGCCTGAACCCTCTGCCTTCTGTGTGCCCACTGGGTAAAGAATGAAAAGCCAGGCATGTATCCCAACACTGTTGGGCCAGAAGCCACAGCCCAGCATTCCATCCCTGTGCCCAGCACCACAGATGCCCAGGCAGCACAGGCAATATCTTACCCTCCCTACCTGACATCATCACCAGATGCAGGGCAGCAAACGTAAAGAATGCACAGTCGAGCGCTCCTTTCTGCAGCTTACTTCTGAAAGCCCAGGCAGAAAAGACCTTAATGCCCATCACTGCACAAAATACTAATTGGCTACAGCCTGGGTTGATTCAGAAAGCCGCTGCCAGCTGAGAGCATAAAAGGAACTCAAATTTAGGGTTCGTCTTCGGCAAAGCTGTAAGAACAGGTGCTTAAATTAAATTAGGATGTGTCCTTACTTCTGGAAGTTTTCCAGCTTGCTCCAGGTTGAAGTGAACACATTAGAAAGCAGGAAGCCTACACTGAAAACCAGTAACTAAAGAAGTTTCCAGAGCCACCATGCTGTATTTCAACATAAAACATTCATGGGCCTGGGGGTACGGGCCTGTCATCCCAGCTGCATAAGAAGCTGAGTCAGGAGGAGCCCAAGTTCAAGCTTAGCCTGGAGAGTTTAGTGAAACCCTCAAAATAAACAGTGCAATGAAAGCTGGGGAGGGGGGAGGGGTAGAACTCAGGCAAAGCACTCTGTCCAATTTCCAGTACTAAAAACAAAGGAAGTACAAAATAGTCGGTGTTTTTGCTTTTCTGTGTTAAGCAAAATACCTTCTCCAAATATTTTTTCTAGAATTTCTTAAAAACAAAAACAAACAAACAAAACTAGCTTTATTTCCTACTCCATTTTCTGTAAAGTTTGAAGCCTGGAAAAAATTGACTGGGGTTCTGCACATAGGCTAATGCAGTGTGACAGTTTGGGATCTGGGCTAGTCCCTGGGCCACTGCACATCAAAGTCACCAGGCTGTACCTCAAAATGCTACTCACTGGGTCCCACTCCAGAGACTCTGGCTGGACTGATGGTCTGAGCACTGGGAATTTTTTAAGCTTCCGAGTGTCATCTGTTAGGTGTTGCACTCTGAGAGCCACCATATGGAGCAACTCTGTCCCCTCCCCTAGAAAGCCAGTGATGTACCCAAGGTCATACTCTATTTTGTGCCACAATGCAACTCTACTAGTGGGTTGCCATCACCCTGAGGCCCAAGAGAATGGCCAAAATCCTTGCCCCTCCCGGTCAGCCTGGACCTCGGCTTACTCACGCCATGGCTGCTGCTTGCTAACCCACTGCACTGTCTCCCCTCTGTGTCCTCACATCTGTGGTGACTATGGTCACCCTACCAGACTCCCCCCTTTTCTCTGACCACACAGACACTGGGCCCACCCTCAGCAGGCCTGCATCTGAATATGTTGTCCCCTACCCAAACATCAGTCTGCGGCTCTCTGTGGCTGCCACTCTCCTCCTGCAGATCCTCAGAAACGGGCTCCCTGTCCCTTTTGCCTTGATCCTCTGCTCCCAAGACTCTTGTCCCCAAACTCCACCTGCCTTGCCATCTCCAGATCCAGTCTCTCTGTACTGTCATCCCACCCCTCCAGCTTCTCCATCCCTCCTGACTCCACATGTTCAGGTCTCAGCTGAAACCCCTTTTTAGGCATTTCAGCACATGCTGTAGCGTAGATGACCTTTGAGGACATTCTGCTCAGTGAACTAAACCAGCCACATTAGGACAGACCCTGCCTGGTATATGCGCAGCCTGGAATGAACAGTTCACAGACAGTTGAAGCGCAGCGCTGGGTGCCAGGGGATGTGGAGAGGTACCAGGGATTGTGCTTCGTAGGGCAGAGTGTCACTTGGAGATGGTGGAAACACTCTGTGGGAGGATGGTACAACGCTGTGAAAGTGCTTGTTGACAATGAACTGAGAATTTTTAAGCAATTGATACAACCGCTTCTCACTCCTTTTGTGAGGAAGCCTGGCCTGCCCTGGCCTGAGCCAGATAGCCCATGACTTCCCAGATTCCCCACATCTCCACTTCAGCATGGCCCTTGTCAAGGTCTGAACTCCTAAAAAATGTAGTGAGTACTATTGTGACATGATGGTACCCAACATGATGGTATCCTGACACATGACAGGCCCCGACAGGCAATAGTTACCCCACTCCCTGTGAAAGCTGAGGAATGTGAAGCCGGATCTCCAGCCCCCCTTGACCTACAATTTAATCACCAGGAAAAAACATGTTGCTAAAATACCAATTCCAAGTACCACTGTTCCAGCACTCTGAAGAAGCATCAAGTCACAAATCATCCAATCATAACAACCCGGACGTTAAACTGACAAACACTGGTGACACTGGGCAAACTCTGCAGAGTTTGAACTATGTTGCAGGGGAATCAGCCACAAATGATCCCATGACCACCTTTGTTCAATCAAATACACACAGCAGGGGAACCAAAAGCCTGGCAGTTTCAAATTCAAGAACACCTAAGCCCATGCCTTGCTTAATTCTGCTATTATTTCTTCTTTCCAAATTAGATATTTATCTTTGAGAACAACATCTACTACTGCGCACATGTTGGGAAGCAGGCAATCCGAGTGGTCTCTACAGGGAAGGAGGGTGTGGTCTACAACGGCCTCAGCGACTGGCTGTATGAAGGTAAGACCTGCAGGGTGAAGATGCAGAGTTATGTGCCCACCCGCAGGGCAGCTGCAGCAGTGGCTGGATTCAGCTTTTGAACTAGCTTTCTTTTCTCTTCAACCTTAGTTATAAATTACACTTCAATTTCCTGAGAGCCATTGAGCCTCAGGGAACACCAAGTCAGCGTTCGTGGATGGCAAGTGCGGGGATTCACAGGTGGCAATTGTGGACACTTACAGGTGGCAGGTGTGAATACACACCAGTGGCCAGGAGTAGGAGACTCACAAGTGAGAAAGAATTCACAGGTAGCAGGTGTGAGGGACTTCAGTGAACCCATTGGTGCTTCTATGGAAGGAGAGGTGCTTAATGGGGAAATGGTCTGAGTGCTCCCAGTACACATGTGTGTGTCCCTCTACCCACTCCACGAGTTAAGAAGCCCGTCTGTATCTGAGGGAGACTGGATGTTCTAGTCATCTTGGTGTGACCCAAATACCTGACAAAGGCTACTTAAGGAATAATTTGTATTGGCTCAGTCTACCTTGGTAGGGTAAGCATGGTGACAAGGGCATGAAGTGTCTGGCCACATTGCATCCACAGTCAAGAAGCAGAAGGTGAAGAACCCTGGCACTCGGGTTCCTTTCTCCTTTTCATGCAGTCCAGGACCTCATCCTAGGAAATGATGCCACCCACATTTGGGGTGGGTCTTATCACCTTGATTAACCTGATTAGATGATCCCTCATAGATATGGCCGAAGCTTGTCTCCTTGCTGATTATAAATCTTGTCAAGTGGACAGTCAGTATTCACCATCTCAGCAAATTTCATGCTTACCTACCCTCTCCGTACTAGGGTTTGGTCTGACTTAAGTTTATAAGGTCACTGGGCAGTGGTGATGGTGCACGCCTTTATTCTCAGCTCTTGGGAGGCAGAGTCATGTGGATCTGTGTGAGTTTGAGGCCAGCTTGATCTACATAAACAATTCCAGAACAGCCAGGGCTACACAGAGAAACTCTGTCTCAAAAATTAAAAAAAAAAAAAAAAACTTCACAAGGTGTTGTGCTTGTGCATACCATAACAACTGCTGTGAGTATATACATACATACATACATACATACATACATACACCCACCCACATACATACGTATATATCTTCTTGACTGTGTCTAGGAAACACTGTTTCCTTGTAGTCATCCACTGCCTCTGCCTCTTACATTCTTACTACTCCTTCCTCAATGATGCCTGGGCTTCTGGAGGACAGGGAGATTTTATGTTTTCTGTAGAGCTAAACATTCTGCAGTCTTAAACTCTCTGTACCTTGACCAGTTGTGAGTCTCTGAATTGTCATCACCTGCAAATAGAAGCTTCTGTGGTAAGAGTGTCGGGAAGTGTTTTAAACTATGAGTATAATGACAAGTCTTTAGGAGTTGGTGCATTATGTCCAGTTAGCAGAGAAATAGTAGGTTCTCTCCTATAGCCTTCGATCTGTCTAGCCACAAGCTCTCAGCCCAAGTATGGTGGCAAATACAGGACTTAAATCTAATCAGAACATGGTTGGTGACCCCATGGTGTTTTGCCACTTTTACACCACTGGGAGTGTCTTGCAAGACCAGTCCTTAGGATAGCTCGAATCGTTCACCACTGATTGTTACTGATGCTTACTTTTCACCTCTGGTATCATGTCTAGATAGTACTTTTCAGCACTCTGAAAACTAGCCAATAGGGATGGAATTTTCAAGCCAGCTGATTTGTCCATGATGAAGAATGGGGTATCTTCAGCAGTAGAATCTTAGCTTCAAGTTCTGGAGGGTAACTGGGAGCAATGACAATAACATGTAATGTTTGGTACTCTTTGTGACCTCACTGTCCAATACTCCAAAAGATATAGCCTATTCCTAGGGTAACTACATTTTTATTCTTCTTATGCATGTGTATAGATATATTTTAGGAAAGTTCTACAGTTGTAGGTTTCCTTATGGCTTTTTAAAAACAAAGTCTTCAGTGTTATTTATCCCTCCAAGTTTCCCTCTTCTACCCTGCCCTCCCTGCCCCACTACTTCATTTAACCCTTCCTCTGATCCATAATTCTATGTTAACCCTTTATACCACTGCTTTCTGTGTCTCTTCCTTTGAAATCCCCATGGCTTCTTACTAATTTCCTGACCTCTATGAGAATTCCAAATGAAACATATCTAAAGAGTCAATGGTAATGTCCATGTACAAGAAAAAAGACATGTTTGTCTTCCTAGGTCTGATGAGTGTTTCGAGCTCCATCTATTTGCCTGTATATTTCATTTCTTTTTGCTTAATAGCTGGGAAATACTCTATTGTGCAATGTATCACATTTTCATTACCCATTCATCAGCCTAGGTAGTTTTATTTCCTGGATATTGCAAATAGAGCATCAATGGGCACGGATGAGCAGGTCTGAGGTAGAGCATAGAGTCCTTTGGGTATGTGCCCAAAAGTGGTATAACTGGAGTGTGTGGCAGATCTATTTCCAGCTTCTTTGGGAACCTCCACACTGATTTTCATCAAGCCAACCAGTTTGCACTTCCACCATTAATGAATAAGCATTCCCCTTACTCTAGAACATGTCAGCATTTGTCATTGTTAATTTTTTGGATGCTAATTACAATGGTGGTGTTTGAGGACACTCACAGCCTATGGCATTTCTCAGCTTTGTGTCACAGATAGGGCAGGGGAGGTAACTGGACATGTGATCACTCAAGATGAGAATCAGCTGCTACTTCCGAAATACAGACGTAGACAGATTCTACTCACAACTCTATCCATAGACTAAGACACAGTTCAAACACAACTTGCCTCCTAGCCTAAGAGCACATGATCCTATATGGTGATCTGCACCCAGTTGAGTTGGAAAGGATCAGGGATGCTCTAGCTTCATGGGTGCTGATACCAGTTCCCCATGGAGCTACACATTTCTTAGGCCTAGACTTAGGCCTTGTGGGAGCATATGGTATGGAGAGGTGATATACTTGTCATCGCAGCTCACTGGTCTCAAATTTCAACAGATTACTAGCACAGCCAGATAAGCCACAATCCCCAAGCAGAGTGTGGTACACGTCTGTCATTCCAGAGTTCCCTGAGCCCCTTTCTGGTCAGTTCCCCTCTCCCCACAGCACTCTCTTCGGGAGATCCCAGAAGTTCTTGTTTCCGTCTGACCGAGAAGCTAAACCTTAGGCATGCAGGCGAGGTGGGCTCTCCAGACAGTCTCCTTGAGGCTCAGATCACTCTTCAAAACCCAGTTTCCAAGTTGCTGGCTGAGATCCAGGGCAATCAACTCTGAGACTTATTTCCACATGACACCCTGGACCATTCCTAAGGGAACTGATGAAGTGAATTAGATGCTGGGCTGGCCCATGTCAAGGCTTGCTCTATACAGAAGCGACCCTGTGAACAGCAACCCAAGCTCTCCCCTGCTCCACCCACATTAATCTGGAGGAGCTACATTTCTGTACTGGGTGCAGACCCATGTATACCCCGTAATCCACAAGAGAGACCATCTCACGTATCAGAGCTGAAAAGGAGGCTCTTTGTTCCCTGCTACTCCTTCTAACAGCACAGAAAATATGTCCAAACACAAGATTACAAGGTCATCATATAGTTTGTGCTTTTAGTTTGTAAATACAGAGTTGTGATTCTTTTAGCACCAACTTCTCGGGAAGTGGGTGAGCTCTTGTCCGCTCCTCACCCTCCACTGTGGCTTCCGCACAGGGAGTGGACCCTAAAGTCCTATGCCCCAGGAAAAAACCAAAAAGCCTTTGTCTGAGAAACAGTCAGAAAACCAAACCCTGTAGTACCTGCTGTATGAGTAGGTTCACCAGGCAGGTCCAGCCTATGATGACAATCAGGAAAGCAGCCCCAAATCATAATTTACTTAAAACATATATTTAAATTGTCTTTGGCTATTTGACTATGCAGATATTGAGTGTAGATTTTCTCCATGGTAAATGGGTGTGCATGCTACCTCTTGCCTATATATGATGCCTCCAAACTCTAAGTTGGGTCTGCTATCTTTCTGGGGAGTAGTTAGTGGCAAGACTATAGGGTCACAGGGCCACATGTGAGGTCCATCATGACCTTGTAAAGCTCTTTCACATCTAAGAACTCAACATGCTCAAACAACACATTGAACAGACCCAATGTGGACTTAGCACACCATGGCAAATGGCAGGGACTAGAGGGTCTTAGAATTTTTAAAAACCCTGTTATACTAACAGTGGCTATATTAATTATTGTTTAACTTAGTCACTCATATTTTTGTCACAAAACATCTGTTCTAGTGTCAATCTGTTACTGTGATAAAACACTCTGACCCAAAACAACTTAGGGTTTATTGCTCACAGGCCACGGTCCATTGCTGAGGAAAGGCAAGGCAAGAACTCATGCAGAAACTTGAAGCAGAATCCATGGAGGAATGTTGCTTGCTGGATCACTTGCTGCCTTGTTGTAGCTTTCTTATATGCCCCAGGACCACCTACCTAGGGAATGGTGCCTCCCACAATGGGCACCATCAAGATAATCCTCACGACGTGCCCACAGCCCAATCTGATGTGGGCGAGTCCTTGGTTGAGGCTTCCCTCTCAGATGACTCTAACCTGTGTCAAGCTGACAATTAAAGTGAACTAGGACGATATATTTCTTAAAGATAGGGAGAGAAGGAGAGATACAAAAGCACCTAGGCACAGTTTCCCAGGTGGCCAGTCTGCCACAGTTTGGAAACTGTCTGTCTTGAACTTCATAGGAAGTTTAGTGCAAGCTAAGCTCCTTGAGGGCCCCACAGAGAAGGGCCCTGAGTCTTCCTGCAAGAGCCTAGGCTCACTCTGTAACTAATCTCCTTAATAACATCCATAGCCAGGAGGTCTGAAACATCTTTCTCGGTATCTCAAAAAAAAAAATTAAAAATTAATTGCTTTGCCATTCAAGTTAAGCTTAGCCTTAGCAAATCCATTGAAAAGATTCTTTATTTTCTTCAAGGCATTTACAAGAAATCACATA